AGCGCGGTCCTGATTATCCTGTGCGACGATCAACGCAGTATGGATGTATTTTTTTGTTTGTGTGCATTGGGGTTTGATGGTCGGGTGTCCAGCGAATAAGCAGGAGAACCATTAGGGTTCTCGACCAAAGCCTTTAGTTATGACAAGAAAATAACCGCAAAGAAGTTGGTGAGGCGAAGTGGAGGAACATTAACTTGGATCGATTACTCCATCATTTTTACCGACGGAAACGGAAATTCTAGTAGAGCCCCCACAACCTGGAGGATCACGGGACTGGAATCGCCTGACCTCTACCTATTGACCTTCCAGGCATGATAAGATCTCCTGGCCTGACAAAAGCCATTTTGTGCAGCTCGTTGGGTTAGAGGTGCACAAGCCATCACAACACATCAAGGTGCAGTCTCTTCGACCTGCATGGAAGAAGTATCGGTTGGCACCAAGCAACCGTACCTCCTGTCTCTTTCCCGTACACAGAATGGTAGTAGGTAGAAGTAGTAGTAGGACTAAAACACCTGTGGCGGCGACGTGACGTGTCACTAAATTTGAATAGTCGCCCATACTGTGCTACCGTACGATCAGTTCTACTTAGCGGCTGTGAGACCTTGAATTTGCGTGTAGAAGACACACGTCGTTTAGTTGTGTTCGGCAATCGACGCTTACGTAGTTTGGCCCAGGTTGGATGGAGTGAGCGGGTTTGTCACTTACAAGTCAGTTGTCGGGTGTTTGGGAATAGGTCAAACAAGAACTCGTTATCTCATCGAATCCAGCTTAGTAGGCTCCGTTGGTTAGGACGTGATGCGTATGTTTGATGGTCTTGTTGTTACAGGCTGGAGAAAGCCAGCAGATGACGTGGAAACGAGGTATGAAGAAATGCGCAAAGCGATTACTTAGATTAGGTGTCTCTCATCTTCCGGGTTGGGGTCCAAAAGACTCCGAAACCATATGGTTGGAGAAACTGAAGGTCATGGCTGCGAAGCGACAGCAACGGAAATTATGCTGTCACTCCTTATCAGATCAAAATGCTTGAAATAGTATGTATGCACAGTTGGACTGTGCATTGTGTGTTGACCATAGCGGTTTGCTTTCTTTTCTCGTCCCTGAATATAGGCCCAATCCCTAGCTTCCTTACGCATTCTCACTTATCTTGTATGCAATATGAGTTTGGCAGCGATCAGTGAAGTTCGCTTCACTGTATAACCCTGTAAAATGTTGATGATGATGAGGCGTAAGGAGAATTTGGCTCGTAACAAAACAGTCCGTATCCACAGGTGTTGACCAGTAAGGGAGGTAATCTTGAATCGAACCTCTTCAGCGGTAACAAATGGTAATGTGGTCCATTTGGGTTCAGTGTGGTGAAGGTGATGATCTCCATGTCAGAGGGGTGTCGTTTCTTGTGCGAAAAGTTCGTGCTTGACAGGAATAATCCGTGGTNCTCCGTTCTCTGTCCGGTTGGCTGGGATTGCATGTTATCCACCAAAAAGCCTTTCTGATCCCACTTCTGCATTGAAGTCTCCGGCGAATACTACGACCTCGTTTGATCGAACACTTTGGCAATAGTCGCAATCTTTTCCGTCTAATTAGGAATACGGGTCCCAGGGAAGCAGGCGTGAGGTAATAAAGGAATCCGATGGCACACTGATTCATCATCAGCAATGCCGTCTTGATAG